AGGAATGGAGATGAGTTCAAGAAACCATGATCAAGAGACGACAGTTTAGAGAAATAAGAGGGACCTATGTAATCCATAATCCACCCCACCTCTCAGCCCTATTTCTTTCTCCTTGTTACAAATGACCAATAAAATGCTAACACCAGTTAAGATGCTTACCTTTCCAAAGTGACAAAAAAATAAACAGTGAATCTGTCACCATTCCACTCTATAATCCAAAGCAGGGAGCTTTTTCACCAATGTTCAGTTAAAGCAGCTCCCATTGTGGGATCACAACACCTCTTCTAAACATTTGTGCCTTAAATAACTGACATTAATATATTTGCAAAGTCATGTGTAAACCCTGTTCCTGTTTCTGCAAGGACCGATGCCACCCTCTTATTTCTGACCTGACGACAACCTGAGATTCAGTCTGAGGGGAAACGCTACCATAGAGATACAAAGCACAGGACCCATTCTCTCCAAGTGTCATAACACAGGATTAAACAAAAAGCAAGCGTGCCCATCACGGCCTCTACCATTAACAGTCATCAGGCCCTAAGTAAAATGAGGAGAGGCAAGGACTAGAAAAAAAAAAAAAAAAAAACTCAGACCAATAATCCAGAGCACAGAATGATGCTGCATTGGATGGAAACCAGTATCAATCAGCACTGCTAGCGATGGATCCCTTGAGTTCTTTACCTGTGGCCGCTGCTTGTGCTGTGTCTGGTTTTGGTTTTGAGGTTGTTCCCAGTTTCCCCGGGCTCGGTTAGTGCCCACCGACGTCATCATTTACAGTATATACAAATAACAGTATTTACAAGGTAGGATACTGGAAGATTAAAAAAAAATTCAGATGTTAAATGTGGGCCAAACAGGTTTTCAACCTCTTTCATCAGCACCTTCACCAAACATGCTCATCATCCAAGAAGAGTAACCTGTTCTTGAGACCTACTTAGTTTGATAAATTCCTTAAGAAACAATTGCTATTAGTCCATTTTTATAGAACAAGAAATACATAAAGGGTATGTGAAGTTTAAGTTATGGGCAAGGTTTGGTTTCTAGTCCCCTTACAGGCAGCTTTGTCAAGTTTTGCGAAACAATGTTAATAATCAAAAGCTTTCTACATACAAATGACTAAAATCCCTTTGAGAAAAGGAAAGATAATCAGCAAAACCTGGAAACAAAAGCCTTCCAGGAAGGGGACTTAATCTATACTCCAAATAAAAACAATTTAAAATACCAAACTCATCTACCTATGAAAACAGCCCTACCTCCCTTACAATTCGTTGCTCAGGAAAGGACACGCTCAAGTCTAGACTTTCTCCCTCACTCTCCTCATGCATGGACTGCTCCTATAACCTTCAACAAGGCAAGTATTAGCCCCAGTGACTGTGCTGAAGAATCTCAGTTCCCTCGATAATTCTATCACACTGTTTTTGTGACTACTTTCTGATGCTCTCCTAGTCCACAGTTCCGAGGCACCAGAATTGCAATTACTCTTTACCACTCACCTTAATATACAGAGAATTCCAAATCTGCCCCAAACCAAAAGCATCTAGCACAAAGCTTTATTTGGAAGGGCTTCTATGATATCATTTTAAACTTGAGACATTATTGCCAGCAAGAGGACTTTGTTGAAACAGAGAACACACAGGGCCTTCACAAAACCAGAACGGTTTTTGTTATTAACACTTCCAGCAGGCTAGGATTCTCCCGAACTTAAATTCCTTCCATTCATACTTTGCTTTATAACGCAACCTCAGCTGCTGCGTTTAGTAAACAAAGACTCATCGACAGGGTGCTCAAAATCAGATGTTACTCTGCATGGTTTCATTCCCTTCCAAAGAGAGTAAGTTTTTATTTTCTGCTCGACATGTAATTTTTTTTTCATTAATGAAATTTTATATGGGATAATTCTAGACTACTCAAAAGCCACTGCTGGATTTGAAGGAGAGTAGACTGGGCTTCTAAAGAAATACAGAAGGATTAATTATTAGGGAAGTGAAATCTTACTGGTTTCTGAGGTCTCAAAGAAAACTAACTTCCCTGCAGATAAATTCTTCACCCAAGTGGACCAATAGGCTGCACAGGTCTCCTTTTTGATGCAGTCATTCAGAATGAAGAGTTTTACATTCTCTATCATCAAAAGTTTTAAGAAAATTTCAGAGCTAATTCTTTAACCCTTACCTCTTTCCCCTACACACGTGCACACAAAGGCCTTTACGTAAATATTTCTAGCTACTACAAGACTATTTGCTACACAAATAGTCCATTTTCCCAGACTAGTCAAGTTTCAACACACACAACTAGTGTTCTTTAACCAGTACCCCCGGATTCAAATCAAAGAAAAAAATTAAAATTAGACAAAAACACTTATACTTAAATAATTGGCTCTAAAATGAAATTTCTAATGGGAATAAACACTCCTGTAACTTACAAACATTGACTGCTTTCTACTTCGTGTGTGATTTCAACTTGAAAGCATTACGTTAATACTACAGATTATGAACTGCGTGATTGGCAATATGGACTGCATATACCGTACCGGTCAATAAAGATATATTGAAAAGTCATCTTGAAAGCCACGTAATTAGTCAAGGGGGGAAAAAGTCCAGAAGACTCCCTCTCCCTCAATTTCTCTCTTACAAGTGCTTTGAAATGTGTGACTAAGAAAATTTTACCACCTAGGTAGTAACACTGAGCAGCAGGTCAAAAACAAATGATCTGGGATGGTTTACTGGAGGGCACAAAATTAGTAGCCTTCTCATAGCAAGCAGGGACACATACCTAGAGTTATCACAGTGGAGAGGAAGAATCTTGTTAAGTATTTTTCCTTAGAAAATAAAAATATTTATGGGCAACATGTGAGAAATGTTGGAGACCAAGGGAAAAGTGCAGGAATAGAGGTTTCAACACAGGAGTGCCCTTGACCATTTCTTGAAAACCAGCTACTTAAAAAAATAGCCAAAGAAATTTTACAGAAAAAAATAAACATCACGTATTTATTGAGTATCTCCTATATGTCCAGTACTTTAGAAAATACAAAAGCAATAGGACTTGGTTACTGCCCTCAGGGAGCTTACAATCTAAGTGGAGGAACAATCGAGACACTGAAGCTGGACTGGGGTAAGGCTTGCTACCTGTAACAGAACGGCTAGTTCCCCGGGATGCTCTGTGGAAACGACCCCTGCATCCCCTCCTCCATAACCGTGAACCTCATTTTAAAGACCATACTTGCCAGTTAGGACATTTAGCAACAAGGGGCTTTAAAAACCAGCCAGGACACAGGCCACGTTAAGGTCTTTCATCCTCAGTGACACCACAGCAGAACCCGCTGCTCACGAGAGACGCGATCACCGGCACGGTCCGCTCTCTTAGGGACAATGGTGTGGGGTCTCAACCCCGTTAGAGCAACCCACACGTAACCGACGCGTTCCGGGGCTCGGTGATGCTGGCTGTCACGGACCCCCATCACCTGCCAGCAAGTCCCACCTCACATCCCCAAGGCGGGACACGGACGGTGAAAGGGGGAAGAGGGGGACAAAAAACGGATTTCTCCATCTAATAATCGGGGACACTCAGAGGCAAAAAGCGGTAACAACAACAAAAAGGGCCTGTTCCTGTGGGGTTTTTCCTTCCACAACAGCCTACACCAGAGGTGGCTACTTTTCAAGAAGGGTGGAGGAGCGGTCTCCTGTTTGTGACATCAGTCTGCACAGCCGTTTAGGGACTGTCCGCAAAGTGAAGGGTCCGAAAAAATTCGGGATTCCTGTCCTATTATGAGGGAACGAGCACCCCGGTGCTCCAGTGACGTCCCCAGGCGGAAGACACCCTGCGGGGGTCGGCCCGCCCAGCCTCCCCACCAGCAGGCCAATTGTCCGGAGCCCCCAAAGTACAGCGGGGGCCCCGGGCAGCCTGCGGCGGCCGCGGAGTAGCCGTGCCCCGGGCCGGGACGCCGAGAAAGCGGGCCGGGCGGTGAGAGGAGCTGACAAAGAGGCCGCCGGCGGGCAGGGGCCGCGAGCCCACGCGTGGAGGATGGGAGGCTCGCCCCGCTCGGCGCCACATCGGGAGCTCCCGGGGCCAATCGCCTCCTCACCTCCCACCCGGAACAAATTAATCCTCCGCACTCCGAACTGAGGGCCACATGGGGGAGTTTGGGGCAGCTCCACCCCGCCGTCCTCCCTCCCCCCGCCACCCCCAAACTAGGCCGGATCCGGATCCGAGAAGGCCCGCAGCGGGCTGCAAAGCGACGCCGGCCCCCGCGGCGTCCTCACGGCAGCGGCCGGGCCGGAGAGAGCCCTACCTCAGGCGGGGCCCAGGCCGCGCTCGCTCGCGCTCTTCCTCGCTCTCCCCGCTCAGGCTCTAGCCGCATGGCCCCCCCCTCCGGCCGCCCAAGCCCCGCCCCGGCCACGCTCCCAAATCGAGGCCCCGGCTCCGGCGCGGCCCACTAGGCCGCAAATCCAACCATAAACAAAACCTCCGGCGGCCGACTTGGGTGGGGGGGGTTAGGGCGCCGGGCTCACACGACCGGGAGGGGTGTCCAGTGGGGGAGCTCACGGGGCGGGGGGCCGACCGAGGGGGGGGCCCGGCGGGGTACGGGAGAAGGGAGGGAGGGAAAAGGGAGACCGCGGATTTAAAGGGGCCGCGGACAATACCCGGCCCCGCCGCGCTGCCGCTGCCGCCGCCGCCGCCGCCAACGCCGCTGCGCTCCCAACTTTACCTCAGTCTCCTCCACACTGACACCCCGGGCCGCGCCGCCCCTGTCACGTGATGTAAGGTTCTCTCCTCCCCACCCCCTCCCTCCTTTCCCCTCGCGCGCTCGCTCTCGCGCCTTCCCCCTCCCACTTGCCTGCCTGCGTCCCCCGGCACGTGACGCGAAAAGGGACGCGCACGCAAGCGTGCGCGCGCTGCCTCGCCACGAGCCGCGGCGCTGCGGTTCCGCGTGTCCGCCCCGCCCCCGCCGCGTGACGCGCTGTCGGCCCTCGCTTCCTGTTCCTGGCGTCGTCCGGCGTCGTCCGGCGTCTCGGCGCGCGCCGCTTGCGGGGCCGCTGCGGGCCTGGGTCACGTGCCGGGGGCAGTGGGAAGGCGGAGTTCTTGTTTCCCAGGCCCCTGTCCGCCATGTTTTCAGGCCAGCTGAGCGTTTGTGTCTCCCCGTGAGGAAATGGCCGGGGAGCTTCGGGGAGCCCAGGCGCCGGGGCCTCGGCGGAGCCCGGGCTGACCCGGAGCGGTTGTGCGCGGGGCGGGAGGCCATGGCGTCCGGCAGTAACTGGTTGTCTGGCGTGAACGTCGTGTTGGTGATGGCCTACGGGAGCCTGGTGAGGAGAGCCCGCGTCCCGGTCGTCCGCCTCCAGCCGCTGGCTCACCTGCGCCTTCCCCGAGCTGGGGCTCGTACCTGCCCGGGGAGCGCTGGGGGCCGAGCGCCCCGTCTCTCCGCCCCCCTCTCCCCGCGTACCCCGGAGCGGCCCTGAGCGCCCGCAGCTGGGGGTTAAAGGGAAGGCGCGCCCTTTGTTTTTTTTTAATTAACGATTCCGTTCTTTTCTCCCATGTCTCGGACAGGTGTTTGTACTGCTATTTATTTTTGTGAAGAGGCAAATCATGCGCTTTGCAATGAAATCCCGAAGGGGACCTCATGTTCCGGTGGGACACAACGCCCCCAAGGTAGGTCCTTAAGGCACGAGGTGGGCCTGGTTCTGCAGCTCTGTCAGTGTTTAGAGTTGAGGTGGCCTTCGCCTGGGAGACGACTTTGGCTCCCGAGTTTCCTTGTCACCCTCCCCCCCCCCCCCCCCCCCCCCCCCGGCTCGGCCGTGTAGACGGGGGAGCCCGCCGCTGCGGCACAGCGTGCACCTGACGCGGGGCTGCCGTTCTTGCCTCCGCCCAGTGATTTCTGTTTCAAGGTTTGCGTTAGGGCGTCAGGTGAGCCCCAGGTCACCGAGAAGGGCCGCTTCTGCAGAACCTTCCTTTCCGGAGGGAGGGTCTCATCAGTCCCCGGGCTCCGTCCTGTGTGTTCGCAGCTGAAACCTGAAAAGGAAACCGCTCACCCCAGGACATGAGGAGAGTGAATGTCCGAGGGGTTTTTATGCCCGTACTGTCTCTGACCCCTGCGCTCCTTTCCGTGGCGTGAGGGTATCTCCTGGTGAAATTTTCCTCCGTCTCCCAGACTCTTTCCTGAGCCCCCTGTGTCTGTAGCTAACCGCCTTTGTAGCGTGTCCACAAACCTAAGGTGGAAACCAGAGGTCTCTGTGCCGACGCCCCCCCCCCCCCCAATCCTGCTTCTGTCTTCTGCTTCTGGGTAAGAACTTTGGTATGCCTCTGATCCAAGGATCCAGCTGGGATCCGGCTCCACACGTTAGATTTCCAGCTTCTGGATGTGCTGTTACTGGGGGTAGAATGGTCCTGGCTCTTCTCTGGGATAGCTGATTTGCTCTTTTTTTTTTTTTTAATGTTTTATTTATTTTTGAGAGAGAGACCGCGTGAGCAGGTGAGAGACAGACGGAGACACAGAATCTGAAGCAGGCTCCAGGCTCTGAGCTGTCAGCACAGAGCCTGACGCGGCGCTGGAACCCATGAACCATGAGATCATGACCTGAGCCAAAGTCGGTCGCTCAACCTCAACCTACTGAGCCACCCAGGCGCCCCTGATTTTCTCTTTAGATCTGAGCCCAAATTTCATTTTCTCAGAAGAGTGTTCACTACCTGTTTTAAAGTAGGTGATCTTTTTTGTTTTCCCCAGTATCCTATTTTTCTAGATACCGTTTTGTCACAGATTTTTTTCTACGTTTGTCTACTTGTTTAATGCCTGCCTTCCTAGGCTGGAAGCTTCAGGAATGCAGGCACCATGCAAGTTCTGGTCACCAAGGTAAAGCCAGGACTTGCTTACAGTAGGTACTCAAAATGGGTTACTGAGTGATAAACAGGTTAGTGGGTGAACTGGAGCTAGTACATGGTTCCCTCAATTCCTAGATCAGCATCCTTTGAATAACCAGTGCTGTTAACCTTTCTTTTTTTTGTTTTTTTTTGTTTGTTTTTTGTTCTTTGCTGATGTATCTAGTGGAAAGGCTTAAGGAACATTTCGTGGTTTAAAAACCAGACAGTGCTTCTCCCACATTCCCTCAGTTCTCCAGATGTCACCTGCCCTCCATTAGAGGGGTTTGGGGTTGCCTACCAGTATACCATGATCCAATCAAAACTTTGATTACTGGGGTGCCTGAGTGGCTCTGTTGGTTAAGCGTCCAACTTCCGCTCAGGTCAGGATCTCACAGTTTGTGAGTTTGAGCCCCACGTTGGACTCTCTGCTGGTAGCTCAGAACCTGGAGCTGCTTCAGATTCTGTCTCTCTCTCTCTCTCTGCCCCTCCCCCGCTCACACTCTGTCTCTTTCAAAAATAACAAACATTAAAAAAAAAAAAATTTAAGCTTTGATTAATTTGGAGTTTCCTGGACTAGGTTAAGATTCCTTTTACTTTAAAAAATTCTCTCATTTAAATTTGCATTCAGCAGCAGCTCTTCCTGCCCATCGGTCCTCTCTCTGTGCTTTAATAAAATCAGGTTTTTGCACCAAAAAATAAAAATATATAAATAAATTTGAATTCATTGCTCGTGGAAGTGTAAGTTAGTAAAACTTGTTGGGAAATAACTGGGTATTATCTAGTAAGATTGCACATGTGCCTAGTCCATAGTGCAGCAGCTCATTCTTAACATAGAGAAGTTAATTTCTGTTCACCAGAAGACACGTAAGAATATTCACGGGAGTGCCTGGGTGGCTCAGTTGGTTAAGTGTCCAACTTCAGCTCAGGTCATGATGTCACAGTTCCTGAGTTTGAGCCCTGCATCAGGCTCTCTGCTGTCAGCACAGAGCCTGCTTAGAATTCTGTTTCCTTCTCTCTCTGCCTCTCTCTCAAAAATAAATAAAACATTTTAAAAGTTAAAAAAAAAATATTTGTGGCAATGTTTGTGATAGTTCTATATGAAATTCTTAGTCCAGGGGGCGCCTGGGTGGCTCAGTCGGTGAAGCGTCCAGCTTCAGCTCAGGTCATGATCTCACGGTTCGTGGGTTTGAGCCCTGTGTCGGGCTCTGTGCTGACAGCTCAGAGCCTGGAACCTCCTTCAGATTCTGTGTCTCTCTCTCTCTCTCTCTCACCCTCTCCTGGTCATGCTCTTTTTCTCTTTCTTTCTCTTACAAATAAGTAAACATTTTAAAAAAAAAAAGTCCATATGGCTACTTGAGAATACATCTTTTTTTACACTTATTTTTGAGAGGGAGAGAGTGTGCAAGAGAGGGAGGGGCAGAGAAAGAGGGAGACAGAATCCAAAGCAGGCTCCAGGCTCTGAACTGTCAGCACAGAGCCCCATGCGGGGCTCAAACCCATGAACCATGAGATCATGACCCTAGCCGAAGTCAGATGCCACCCAGGTACCGCGATTCTAAAGCATTAAAAAAGTCACAAACGTGAGTGAATCTCAAAAACATGCTGAGTGGAAAAAGCCAGAAAGCATTCACAAAAGAGTATCTATCATTTTGTTCCATTCTATTTGTGTGAAATTCTAGAATACACAACTGTAACAATAGAAAGTACATAATTATTGCTTGGAGCAGGGAAAGAGAGGTTGACTGCAGAGAGACATGAACACTTTGGGGTGATGGAAATCCTGTATCTTGGTTGGAATGGTGGTTGAGTGGGTGTATTCATTTGTCAAACTCAGTCCACACAAATTGGTTGCATTTTATTCCATGTAAGTTCAACCTTGTTAGAGTATTTTAAGTTTAAAAAGATAAGTTGCAGAGGATTTAAAAGGTATTTTTTCATTTGTGTGAGGTTTGAAACCAGGCAAAGGTAAACAGCTTGTTTAGGTTGATACGTGATAAAACTGAAGAAAAGTAAGATTGTTGACAAATGAAGATTGGGGGGTTGCATTCAGTTGGAGCTAGGCACACAAGGCTTCAGAGTCTGGGAATGTTCTAGTTCATTGCCAGGACAGGGTACACAGGTGTTCATCTTCACGATTTTCATGATGTATATAACAGGTATTCTGAATATGATCTATTTCACAGTGCAAGTTTCTAAAAAGTTACAAAAAGAAGAATCTGCTGGGGCTCTGGCAACCCTCTTAAAGTGAGAGAGATGAATTAAGTGTACTCTAGAAGAAAGCTTTTAGAAGTCCTGTGATCCACCAGGTAGGGTAGTCTCCAAACTATTATAAACCATATACAGGTATCGTCACAGATTTTTAGATTATGATTTCCAGTTGCTGTCCATTTTTTCTTTTCCTCTGGAAGTTCTTTATAGCACCTAACCAAGATTCTAAATCCAGTTGAGTCAGAAATCATGTTGATGCTGTAGCACTTAAAGAAATTCTGGCAGGATAAAAGATCTAGTTTAGAGGGTTGTTCGTGTGGCTCTGTCATTTGAGCATCAGGCTCTTTATCTTGGCTAAGGTCATGATCTTGTGATTTGTGGGTTCAAGCCCTGCATGGGGTTCTGTGCCAGCAGTGCAGAGCTTGCTTGGGATTCTCTGTGCACCCCCCGCCCCTCCCCTGCTCACACACACATTACCTCTCTCTCTCGAAATAAACTTTTTGAAAAAATTTAAGAAAAGATCTAGCTTAGAGATGCAAGTTTGGGGACGTTCTTAGAGAACCCGATTCCATCCTTAAATGGTTTAGTCTGACCCGGCGATGTTATCAGGCAGATGAGCATTTTTTACGCTGCTTTTTTTGTAGTTGTTCACTTGCTCTGGCCCGTTTCCAAGCGGATAGGAAGTAGTGTCCAGGATAAGTGATTGCACATTCTTTTCTCTGTGTGAACAGGACTTAAAAGAGGAGATTGATATCCGGCTGTCCAGGGTTCAGGACATCAAATATGAACCTCAGCTCCTTGCAGACGGGGATGCGAGACTGCTGCAGCTGCAAGTACAGGGGAATCAGAGTATGTGGCGCCCTCGAGGATGCTTGAAGGAGGGGTCCCACGCATTCAGAATTGCTTTGCCCTCTGGGCTGTGACCCTAGCTGCTGGGCCCCTGTGGCTCCTCTGTTGCTGGGCGTATGACAGTTGCGGGGCGGCAGTGTTAGCTGGCTGGAGTTTGGACGGCCAGTCTCTTTCTCAACAGGTTGCTACAACTACCTATACAGGATGAAGGCCCTGGATGCCATCCGTGCCTCTGGTAAGGACGGCTTGATGTGAGTTTGAGGGTCTTGAAAGGTCATGGGGAGAAGGAGACCTCCTTTGTATATATTAGAACTAATGCTTTATCTTCCTCCCTGGCTCGGAGGAATTTCCTAGAGTTTGGAGAGTACTCAGTTACGTTGTCTAAGGAAATGATGGTGGCAAGTTCTTTCATTTTCAAAGAATGAATTTGTTTTCTTGTTTAGACTTTTAGTTTCATGAACTGAATGGTGGTAATTTGCTTGGTTTTCCACAAAAGACAAGTGATATACCCTTTCTCAGTAAGACCAAGATAAATGGTTCTTGAATTTTTTCTGTTTCATGATCGTTGTCAAGTATGCTTTGTGCTGCAACATGGTTTCTGTCTTAGACCTGGGGTGAGTAAATAGGGGGTAAATGGGAGGGAGACACTGTCATGGATCATAGGTGGAGCCTACGGGTGGATTGCCAGCACCACGTGACCGCTCAGACACAGCTCTGGATCTCCAGTGGTCTTCATTCTGTTAGAATTTACCCCTGACTGCCTCATTGGACCCATTTCTAAGTTTGAGAAGTTAACTAGAAAGACTAACGAATGGGAGAAGGGTTATGATTGTGTGATTATCTTCTCAGAGATACCGTTCCACGCTGAAGGCCGGCATCCCCGTTCCTTAATGGGCAAGAACTTCCGCTCCTACCTGCTAGATCTTCGGAACACTAGTACTCCCTTCAAGGGTGTGCGCAAGGCCCTCATCGACACTCTGCTGGACGGCTATGAGACAGCCCGCTATGGGACAGGGGTGAGCTGGGTGCCCACTTCTTCCTTTAGGGAGCTGAAGGAACATCCCAGCCTGAGAGAGCCTCACTCTTCCCTCCTTTTCCCTCAGGTCTTCGGCCAGAGTGAGTACCTGCGCTACCAGGAGGCCCTGAGTGAGCTGGCCACCGTGTAAGTGTGGAGGGTGTATACTGGCGACTGCGGCAGTGCCGGCCCGCCCCAGCGACGTGCCCTTCATGAGCAGTAGCGACCAAGTCAGGAGGACAAGCTGTCTCATTCTGCCTTGCTTGCCTCTGAATGTGTGTGCACGGCTCTATGGGAGAGGAGGAGAAGCCTCGTCTGCTTTTGTGCCGGCTCCTTTTTTAGTTCAGCTCAGTAAAATGTCAGAATTAGTGTGACATGTAGACCGATAAAGGGAATAAAGTTAGAGCACCTGGGTGGCTCAGTCGGTGAAGCATCTGACTTCCACTCAGGTCATGATCTCACAGTCTGTGGGTTTGAGCCCCACGTCAGGCTCTGTGCAGCTTGGAGACAGCTTGGGATTCTCTCTGTCCCTCCCCTACTCATGCTCTGTTTCTTTTTCTTAATGTTTAAAGGGTTTTTAAAAATTTTTTTTAAAGAATAATTTTTTTTTTTTAAATTATTAGAGGGAGAAAGAACATGAGTAGGGAGAGGCAGAGAAAAGAGACACAGAATCTGAAGCAGGCTCCAGGCTCTGAGCAATCAGCACGGAGCCTGATGTGAGGCTCAAACTCACAAACCACGAGATCATGACTTGAGCCAATGTCTGACACTTAACTGACTAAGCCACCCAGGTACCCCTGTGGAATAAAGTTCTTGTTTTTTTTAAATGGTGACTGGTCCCTGGACTTAAGAAAAAAATTTTTTTTAAATGTTTACTTTTGAGAGAGACTGTATAAGCACAAGAGGAGCAGAGAGGGGGGGAGATACAAAATCCAAAACAGGCTCCAAGCTCTGAGCTCTCAGCACAGAGCCTGACACGGGACTGAAACTCAAGAGCTGTGAGATCCTGACCTGAGCTGAAGTCAGAAGCTTAACTGAGTGCCCCAGACGCCCCGGGAATAAAGTTGTTCAATACAGAGATTCTTTCTCTTTCAGGTTCCAGTGTTTTCCTTTTATGTCTTGGTCTGATAAAAGTAACACGTGCCACCCATTTTTATCACCACTCGTAGCTTTAGGAACCTTGTTTGAAGTTAAGGACATCACTAGAGTATCAGTTGTTGAGTCTCTGTGTTGTATGAATCACGACTTTCATCTAGCAGTGTTTTAAATGTCCACTAACGTAGTTTTGTGATGATGTTTATACAGATGTTGAAAGGGTGCGAAGAGAAAGCCAATGTAGGATAAAAAGTTAGTGACCAGCCTTGGAAAGAACCATCTCACTTTTCTGCCATGTTGAGTATGTCTCTTTCTGAAAATATAAGGGGTGTGTCTGTCCTGTCTCCTCTCTCTCCTTTAAACTCCCTGTTCCAAAAACATAATGTCCTGTAAAACCTGCTCAGAAGAGGGGTGAAAGCAGGGGAGGACGAGGAAGGGTGCTTGGTCTGGAGGTCGGCCGGGAGGCCTGTTCAAAGCATGGTTTCTTTGAAAGACAAATACCTTCTGGTTCTAACTCAGATGAGGGCTCTAAAAGTCCTCAAATTCATGGAGATGGAAAGGAGACAGTGCCAGGGGCTAGGAGTTATTAATGGGGACAGAACTTCGGTTTTGCAGCATGAAAAGAGCTCTGGAGATAGATGGTGGGGATGGCCACACAACGGTGTGTATGTGCTTGACACTACTGAACTGTAAACATTTAAATTAAAAAATTACCACAATTTTATTAAAAATTTAGTCCTAGAGGGCACCTACATGGCTCAGTGGGTTAAGCGTCTGACTCTTGATTTCAGCTCAGGTCATGATCTCACAGTTCATGGGATCAAGCCCCTGGTCGGGCTCTGAGCTGACAGCACAGAGTCTGCTTGGGATTCTCTCCCCCTCTCTCTGCCCCTCCCCTGCTTGCGCGCTCGCGCGCACTCTTTCTCTCTCAAAATAAATAAATAATGCTTAATAAAAAATAAAACTAAAAAAATAAAATCAGGGCGCCTGGGTGCCTCAGTCAGTGGAGTGTCCAACTCTTGATTTTGGCTCAGATCATCATCCCAGGGTCATGGGATTAAACCCTGCGTTGGGCTCTACGCTAAGTATAGAGCCTGCTTAAGATTCTCTCTCTGCCCCCTCCCTCACTCACATATGCTTGCTTTCTAAAGTAAAATATGGGGTGGCTCAAACATCTGACTTCAGTTCAGGACATGATCTCACAGTTTGTGGGTTTGATTGCCGTGTTGGGCTCTGTGCTGACAGCTCAGATACTGGAGCCTGCTTTGGATTGTGTCTCCCTCTCTCTGACTCTACCCTGTTCACTCTCTTATCTCTCTCAGAAGTAAATTTTTTTTTTTTTTTAATATTTTTATTTACTGCTAGGAGAGAGAGGAAGAGAGAGACAGCGTGAGCAGGGGAGGGTCAGAGAGAGAGGGAGACACAGACTCTGAAATAGGCTCCAGGCTCCGCGCTTGCAGTCAGCACAGAGCCCGATGCGGGGCTCGAACCCACGAACCGCGAGATCATGACCTAAGCGAAAGTCGGACGCTTAACCGACTAAGCCACCCAGGCGCCCCAGAAGTAAATTTTTAAAAAATTAAAATAAAGGCTTCCTCAAATGAGTGAATAGTAATTAAAAAGTAAAAATTCAGTCCTTGTGGGGCACGTGACCAGCTCAGTCAGTAGAGCGTGCACCTCTTGATCTCAGGTTTATGAGTTCAAGCCCTGCATTGGGTATGGAAATTACTTAGACAAACTTTAAAAAAATAGTAAAATTCAGTCTTTGCAGATTTCTGGTTTCTAGAGGGTTTCAGTGAGTCTAGTGAGGAAGAGGCTCTGAAATCTGACAGACTTAGATTTCTACCCCTACTCTGTCACCTAACTAGCTTTGTGACCTCAGGCAAGAGGGCCCTCAGTTTCCTAATTTGGAAAAGGGGGTGTTACTACTGTATAGAGGTCGGGATGGCCATAAATTAGATGTTGGTAAAGTACCAATTTAATCTCATAAGTAAGTATTCAGTAGCTCTTTCTGTTCTTATTTTTTGGTGTTCAGATTACAAGGAACTGTTTTAGACTGGGAGTATTTCTATTAGCGGCGTAGACAAGAGATAAATCACCAGAATGAAAACTTTCTTTGGGGTGCGTGAGTGGTTCAGTCGATCAAGCGTCCAACTCTTCATTTTGGCTGCTCAGGTCATGATCCCAAGGTTGTGGGATTGAGCCCATGTCAGGCCCCGCACTGGGCGTGGACCCTGTTTGGGATTCTCTCTCTCCCACACATGCATGCACATGTGTTCCCTCTCTCTAAAATAAACTCTAAAAGAAATAATAACTAAAAGTTTCCTTTATAGTGAGATGAAAATGTTGAGCCATGGGCATCCTGGGTGGCTCAGTCAGTTAAGCGTCCTACTTTGGCTCAGGTCATGATCTCTCAGTTTGTGAGTTCGAGCCCCCACTTTGGGCTCTGTACTGACAGTTCAGAGCCTGGAGCCTGCTTCAGATTCTGTCTCTCTCTCTCTCAGAAATAAACGTTAAAAAAGAGAAAATGTTGGGGCGCCTGGGTGGCTCAGTCGGTTGAGCGCCGACTTCGGCTCAGGTCATGATCTCGTGGTTTGTGGCTTCGAGCCCCGTGTCGGGCTCTGTGCTGACAGCTCAGAGCCTGGAGCCTGCTTTAGATTCCGTGTCTCCCTCTCTCTCTGACCCTCCCCTGTTCAGGCCGTCTCGCTCACAAATAAAAAAAACATTTAAAATTTTTTAAAAAATAGTAAAAACGTCGAGCCAGAGGCAGGGACTCTGGGAAAAGTGGTCTCTCTGCTACTTCTAAGCTATCAGATGGGCTTTTAGTAACTATAAGACAGGACAAGGATAGGGATCATCTGTGGCTACGGCCACGTTTACAGAATGGTTGAGCTTTGGATTGTATTCTTGTGTCAGCCCCCATTCTGCCCATGACCTGCCCTCTCTGTGTTCTCCAGGGTCAGAGCACGAAGCGGGACCTCTCAGAGACAGCACCAGTCAGCAGCCAAAGACCTCACCCAGTCTCCCGAAGTCTCCCCGACAACCATCCAGGTGACCTACCTCCCCTCCAGCCAGAAGAGCAAACGTGCCAAGCACTTCCTTGAGCTGAAGAGCTTTAAGGACAACTATAACACGCTGGAAAGTACTCTGTGACAGGCTGGTGGATGCTGCTGCTGCTGCTGGCAGGCCGGTGGCCTCACGTCTGGCTGGTGGACCCCGGTCGACCACAGCCCCACTTCGCCCACAGCTCTTAGGGCTCCGGCCTAGAGGAGCGTTCTCCAACTTGTTCTTACAGCCAGTTTCAGAGAATCCGTTAGGACTTGGTTTTCCCTTGGTAGCACTTTCTTCTGGAGTTGAATTCAGATGTTTTCCTTAATGTTTCCATCAAGGCTTCCTTAAAAATCCTCACTTGGTTTTGATTATAGCTCCTCGGCCTTTTGCCCTCTTTTCCCAGACTACAAATAATCCTGAATTGTGAGGGTTGGGGGAACTGGGCCTGGTGCACCCCCTGTCCACGCCTTCATACACAGGTGAAGGGGGACATTTGTGTTGGAGACATCTTCGAGTTGATTGCTTGGAAAGGCAGACACGAGCCTGTGGGGAAGGCCGTGAGGCCTGCGAACTGCTTGCCTGGTGCTCCGTGGAAACGGTAACCGGACCTTCCTGGCGTGCAAGGATCTGCCTCAGCCTTTCTTTGCATACTGTCCTGAATAAATGGAAAAGGGAATGTTGGCACCGGACATAATCCCGTCCCGCCTCATTTATTGGGGGTGCTGTGGGGCAGTGAAGGAATGGTCAGACCAATGCACTGCTCTCACGTTAAGAACCATTTAATAAAATGAACAATTAAAACACACGGTTCATTCCTTTATAGTTGCCCTTTGGTCAAACAGGCGCAGGATATGTTCTTGGACCGAGCATCATCTGGATGCTCCTCGAGACACCACAGAAGAAACCCTAAAATTGGGGCTGTGGGCCTTGCCCCTAGAATAGAATAGCCTGTGTGGCTAATAGAAGGCCAAGGCTGGAGAAGCAGGATTTGCTTCTGGTCTCCAGGGCAACAGGCCAGGTGGCCAATCAGCTCGCAGGCCTGGGGTCATTGTGCAAATGTGTTGCTATGGCTCCTGAAACCCAGGTGACGGAAGGTACGCAGACGGAGGAGAGCCTGCTTCGGGTCCTGCAAGCGTGTGGACATGTCTGTGGAAAAGGCCACGAAAGTAGAGGAGGTGTGCAGAGCTGGAGGGAGGGGCCGGGCCGGGCAAGCTCCCCAGACGGGTGACCAGAGGGCCTGTGATGTAAGCAGGTGGGAGCAGTGGGAGGCCTGGTCCCACACCAGCTCCTCCCTGGGAGTCTCCTGGACCTGCTCCCCTCGCTTCCCTCTTCCGGGAGGGTGCTGGGCCCAGGGGTGCTGGGGGTGGGGCGCTGGGCTGAGGCAGATCACCAACTCACTTTTCTTGCAGAGTTTTCAAAGGGTCCTGGGATTTAAGAAGATGGTCGACCGGTAATTTCTGCTTCCGTCCCTTCCCTTCCCCCTCAGCTTGACCCTTGCACCCTCGTGTCCTCCCCCGCCACCTCTCTGGCCTGCTTCGCCCTCGCTCGGGGCTCCTGAGGACGGGCAGGCGCGCGCAGGGTGGGCGGCAGCCCTTTCTCCAAGCAGGGACCGACCGCCTCCCGGGGCCCCCGACGGCGTGCCACCGGAGGGTGCTTCTCTTGTCCATTTCTTTCCATTCCCTGAGGGAGAATTGGGGCAAGTTTGTGTTCCTTTATTTGTTAAGGAGAATGTCGCATCGGTCATGTGATAGGTACGCAGTAGTTGCTGAATGAGAGAGTGACAGGATGAGGCTGTGTGTCTCCTTCACCCAGGGAGCTTTTTTTTTTTTAATAATTTATTTTTGAGACAGAGACAGAGCATGAGTGGGGGGAGGGGACAGAGAAAGAGGGAGACACAGAATCTGAAACAGGCTCCAGGCTCAGAGCCTGACCCGGGGCTCGAACCCATGAACCGTGAGATCTGACCTGAGCTGAAGTCAGATGCTCAACCGACTGAGCCACCCAGGCGCCCACCCGGGGAGCTTTTTAAACCAGACGTGCTCAGGTCTCAGCCCAGAAGGTTGTGACTGCGTGGGGTGGGGCTGGATAGGCTAAGCCTGGTGTTTAAGGGTTCACAGGTGGTTCTGCCCAGAGCTAGCAAGGATGTGAGGTAGCAGCAATGGATAGAATTCTAGCGCGAGTCCACATTGATGCAGCCTATTTACACACACAGCTGGGTGGGGGCGCCTGGGTGGATCTGTCGGTTAAGTGTCTGACTCCTGATTTCAGCTCAAGTCATGACCTGACGGCTTGTGGGTTGGGCTTTGTGCTGACAGCATGGAGCCTGCTTGGGATTCTTTTTTTTTTTTTTTTTAATGTTTTATTTATTTCTAGCAGAGAGAGAGACAGCGTGAGCAGGGGAGGGTCAGAGAGAGAGGGAGTCACAGACTGAAACAGGCTCCAGGCTCTGAGCTGGCAGTCAGTACATAGCCCGATGTGGGGCTCGAACCCACTAACCGCGAGATCATGACCTAAGCGAAAGTCGGACGCTTAACCGACTAAGCCACCCAGGCGCCCCCTGCTTGGGATTCTCTGTCTCATTCTCTTTCTCTGCTCCTCCCCTACTCTGCTGTCTGTCTGTCTGTCTTTTAAATAAACATGGGCGCCTGGGTGGCCCAGTCAGTTAAGCCTCCAACTTTGGCACAGGTCATTATCTCATGGTTCATGAGTTCGAGCCCCACTGTCAGCACAGAGCCCACTTTGGGTCTTCTGTCCCCTCTCTTTTTCTCGCTCAAAAATAAATAAAATTTAAAATATTTTAAAGACATCAACAAACAAAAAAAAGTTTGATGAAATCTGTCAAATCTTACGGTATCCTTGGTACTGGCAACTGTACATCTAGGAGTTTAACGTACATATATATGCTTGAAAAAAATTCTGGAACGTTCATATACAAGAGCATCCCAGACAGTGTTGTTTATAAAAGCTAGGCAGGGGCACCTGGCTGGGCCAGTTGGAGGGGCATGTGACTCAGCTCGGGGTCGTGTGCTGCAGCCCCGTGCTGCTGGGCAGAGATTACTGTAAAATAAAAGTAAAAAAAATAGAAACAGCCTAGCTCATTAAACGATGATATAAAAATACTAGGCAGCCTTTCTTTACACAGAATGAAGCAAATGTGGATGTGCTGATAGGAAAAGTCCAATGGTTAATTCCACTAATGTGAGTGAGTGCATGGTGATAGATAAAGATATACTTCCTAGTATATGATAGAAAAGCTTCTGGAAAAATACACAGACTGGTAACTTTGTTGAGAACTAGGGCAGAAAAACAAAGCTTTCACTTTTCTTCTGGTATCTATATACATACATACACACACATATACATATATATACACACACACATATGTATTTAAGTTTAGCCTGAGAGAGAGAGTGAGTGAGCACGTGGTCAGGGCAGAAAGAGGGGGAGAGAGAATCCCAAGCAGCCTCCACACTGTCAGTGCAGACCCCACATGGGGCTCAAACTCCCAAACCATGAGATCATGACCTGAGCCGACATCAAGACTCAAGACACTTAACCGAGTGAGCCACCCAAGCACCCCAAGACTATTTATCTATTTTTAAATGTTTTATTTATTTCTGAGAGAGAGAGACCGCGTGAGCAGGGGAGGGTCAGAGAGAGAGGGAGACACAGAATCTGAAGCAGCTCCAGGCTCTGAGCTGTCAGCGCAGAGCCCGACGTGGGGCTCGAACCCACAAACCATGAGATCATGACCTGAGCCGAAGTCGGACGCTTAACCGACTGAGCCACCCAGGCGCCCCCCCAAAATTTTATTTTTAAATAGTTTCTACACCCATCATGGTGTTTGAACTCAGAAACCCGAGGTCAAGTCATGTGTTCTGCTGGGGTAGCAGGTGCCCCTCTTTTTTTTTTTTTTTAAACCCAATGTACTTATTTAATACATTCATCATCACCACAAGGGCTCAACCAGAGACTTAACTTGAAAAACAAATAAAACCAAAATGACCCCATAGCTTAAGATACACAATCCTAGGGGCACCTGGGTGGCTCAGTCATTTAAGTGTTCGACTCCAGCTCAGGTCGTGACTTCACAGTTCATGAGTTTGAGCCCCGGAGCCTGCTTTGGGTTCTCTGTCCCCCTCTCTCTGCCCCTCCCCCGACTCGTGCTATCTCTCTCTCTCAAAAATAAACATGAAAAATAAAAAAGGTAACGTCAAAAATAAACATGAAAAATAAAAAAGGTAACGTAAGGAGAGAGGCTACACGGTGCGGGTTCTTGGCTAGAGGCCAGCTTTGAGCAGGTCTCCTGCAGGCAGGTGTTAAAAGCTGGGGGGCTTCTCCAGGCTGGCAGCGTATGTGCTCGGGGGCTGTCGGTGTTGGGTTCTGCTAGCAGGGACAGACCGAGTGTCCTTGAGGGTGTCCAAACGCCCTGCGTGTCCAGGTCTGGGTGTCAGCAGGGCATGAGGCCCCTCCCCGTGGGTGCGCTGTGAGCCCTGGGCGGGCTGGCAGTCCTGGGAGAGCTGATGCTTCAGGTCTTCCCATTCTGTGCCCGCCGCTCCAGGGATAGGGCCCCAGCCGCGTGGAAGGCTGTGTGACTCAGGAAGGCGGGAGTTCCTTTGTCACCAGACACCGTGGGGGCCATGCCTCCTCCTGTGGCGTCTTGCCCCCAGGACCCCAGGTGGCGCCCCCCTGGAGGCAGCGACACGCAGCTGCTGGGTGGCGGGTCTGGGAGCAGCGTGGGCAGCAAGACAGGAACTTGGAGCACAATTGCAACTCGGATTTAATGTATGAGAGTCTCATTATTAAGTTTATTTTGAGAGAGAGTGCATGCACACGAACCGGAAAGGGACAGAGAGAGAGAATATCCCAAGTAGGCTCCGCGCTGTCAGCACAGGGCCCCAATGTGGGGCTGGAACCCACAAACCACGAGATCATGACCTGAGCTGAAACCAAGAGTTGAACACTTTTTTTTTTTAATGTTTTATTTATTTCTAGGAGAGAGAGAGAGAGACAGCGTGAGCAGGGGAGGGTCAGAGAGAGAGGAAGTCACAGACTCTGAAACAGGCTCCAGGCTCTGAGCTGGCAGTCAGCACAGAGCCTGACGCGGGGCCCGAACCCACGAACCGTGAGATCATGACCTGAGCGAAAGTCGGACGCTTAACCAACTAAGCCACCCAGGCGCCCCAAGAGTTGAACACTTAACCCACTGAGCCACCCAGGTGCCCTGGAGCATGTGAGTTTGACCCCATGTTGTGTGTAGATATTACTTAAAAATTCAATCAACAGGGCTTATCTGAGCAGAGGATACATGTGTGAGAGGTGGGGGGACAGAGAAATGCATATTTGTCTCATGTATTAAAACCCTTGGGGCGCCTGGGTGGCTCAGTCGGTTAAGTGTCCAACTT